ACTATCCTGAAACAAGGCTAGACCAGGCTTGATCATGGGTAGCTCCAGATAGTCATCCCCATAATGGCCATCAACAACCAATCGTTTTGTCAGTGACTAATATAGTGACATAATTATGTTGACATGTGTTGGCATCAATTTATGAATGATTTATTTTTCTGGGCAAAACCTCAAGAAACAAAAATCAAAAGACATCTACAAAACAATGACTACCGCATAGCACTCCCTGCCACGGGTTGCGGAATCAAGTCTAGGAGGATAGAATCAAGCAAAAGCAACCGTCAGATTCGGCAGAACCACGCAACAATTAATCGGACAAAACCGTTGGCAAACAAAACATCCAGATCAAAACCGCCCCCAACCACCAGCCTTTACTACGGGAAATTCAAAGGCCTCGTCGAGAAAGTCCTGCATTGCAGCACTGCTGGACTGCTGCAACTGTGCACGACGAAGGGGAAAATTTAGGAACCCCATTGAAACATCTTGTAATGGATGTGCACCATGACCTGTGCACATCAGTCTGATCCAATTGAAACAATAATCGAAGTAACATGTTCATATATCTGTATCTTTGTCACCTTCAATAATTTCCAAAATTTCCCCAAACAGAAACATAGTCTACAAATGTCTACAATCAAAGGTTCTTTTTCCAAGCACCTTGTTGTTTCAGGTCGGCTTCGCGAGGCCTAGGCCCTAGGCTGGTACCTCTCCTTGGTGTCTGCCTCGCTCATGGAGCACAACTTCACCAGCTGGAAGAGGCCCGTGAGGATGAAGGTAGCTGGCGCATCGAAAAATCTGGAGCCTACTGATTGAACAGTTTGACATGGAAAGCAATGACATCAATGATGGTTAAACAGAGCATGTTGAAAATAGATGAATGATGATGAATGTTTGATTACACGAGGGTAAGAGATGTGAAGCAGGAGCAACTTTTTGCGGCTGGTTTGTCCAGAGGACCACCGTAATTTTATGTCCAAATCTACATCACCAGTCCCATGGGTAAAAAACACGGCGCCTAACATCATGGTAGCGGAGACCATGGCAATCCAGAAGCTATGATAATTTCGTTGACCAACACCTCAGCCACTGGACATCCCTGGACCCAGGCTCAGCTATCATGCGACTCGCTGCCCAAACAACACGAAAACACGGTTGCATACGGTTGCCAAGTCACAATTGTTCAGCCAAATGCAATGATGGTCGAACTTCGATACACACCTAGCAAGTTCCGACTTCAATCGCGCTCAACCTGCTGACAAACAATCATTGACAATGGTGATCTGTCAAGCACACCAATTTACAGTGAGGCGGGGCCGTAGTATACCACCTCACCATTTACCACGCCTGCCCTGACTTCCACTTTAATCAGCAGAGTAAAATCTGCTTCCAAGCGGTAAGACTTGGGTGAGGTGGGAGTGGATGATCCTTACCAAAAAAAACTGAATAGTTATAGTTAACCATAGCTGCTGGTTCACAATTCAACTCAACTCAACTCAAGCACACTCAAGCGCACCAATTTCGACCCATTTAGTAATTAGAATGGGTCGCCACTTTGATGAATTGACCAACCATGGCAATTAGATCTGTCTGGCAACCTACACGGCCCACTCCAAATGGCCTGTTGCAGGTGTTACAGTGCTCAGTTCGCCACTCCTCGACAGCGCCATCCGGATGAATCTCCAGAAAATCTTAATCAAAAGCCGCGCAAAATGCGGCTAACAGAAAGCCCAGACCATACGGATTATCTGGATTTTGAATGTGAACTTTCACCAAACATCATCAACCAAGTCACCAAAGATCAGCACCGTTTCAAAATCAGAAGGGTTATGGACCAACAATCAGCCAAAAAACAAAGTGACACAAAGCATTCACCCAAAAGACATCCAGAAGTCATCACTCACCACCATAGGTGCAATAGTTAACCATATATGGGAGCCATTACTGGGTCAAAGATCAGAAACCATGGTTATACCCGATGTTTGCCAATAGTTATATACTTAGATATCCAAAAAGTTATCCAAAAGTCATCACCACTTGCTCTCTCTTTCATAGTTAACCATAGTTTCATAAGCATTCAGACCAATAGTGAAGCACCATTAAGCACCATATTTTAGCGATGATCAAAGATCACCAACGCGCCTGACGCACCCGGCACGTCCAACACACCAGCGAGTTGGAGCCGACAGCATCGAAGGAGCCCGCCTCCGTCCTGGGAAACTCATCATCGAATAATAAGATGAGATATGAAAAAAACATCATGATCAGTATAGAGATGATCATAATCATATAGAGATATCTCTACATATTTTTTCATAAGAGAATCAGAACCATGTGAAAAATATTGAAATGAGATCATACGTCATATACTGTAAAAATCTGTAAAATATGTTTGCCTGGTTGTGGTGGCTGATCCATGTTGATCCACTCAGAAGAAGGGAATTCTGGGGAAAGGATGGCATACCCAAATCAGAGATATCACATGATTACCTAACAACAATTGATTTGCTGGCAAAGCGAATCGACGCGAATCCTCCCCAGGCATGCAATATATAGTCAGTTTGTGATTGGGGGTCATTGTCTGAGATGTGCAGTTAGATGTATTTGTTTCCTTTACCGGTACTTTACGTTTCTCAGGGCCACGCGCAAACGACTATGCATTTTAGAAAGTGTTTTGCTCTCTGCCTCGTTTTGCCAAGTGAGGTTGGAGGAAAATCCCAGAAACAACAACCTTCTATCTTCCGGGGGAACTTGCATCCTGAACCACATGCTATTCGGGCAATAAAAGTCAATGCGTGATGCAAAGACGTCTTACATGATGTGAGATGCCCGCAAATAATTTGTCTCACCCTGCGCATGCTGGCCAGTCGCAGCTTACCATTCTTCCATGGAACCTGGCACAGGGGCGAGATCATTTCCCGTTATGCCCTATCCAACCCTGGCGACTTTGAAGAAATCATCATCCGTGGTTTCTAAGAATCTTGACGCACCAACTGGGTCACGAACTTTCGAACTGCATACATGTATATATTATGAATCTGACTGTACATCTATATGCATCAAACTGACAATATAGACAAACACATGCAAAAGACACATCCGGATGGGAGGGATCGGTGATGGCAACATGCACACCAGCGCTGATCATTAGAACTACCTGAGCGACAGTGCGGTGGCGTGGCCATGAAGTTGGGTGGCACAGGGGTCACAATGTTGATTGTATATCATTTGTATGTATAAACATGAATAGTAGATAAAAATAACTGAATAAGTAAGTAAATAAATAAATAACTATATACATATAATATATATATATACATAATATATATAATATATATATATGTACATTAGCATTTTATCGCATTAATCATTAAACCATCCAAACCTCTTTTGGGCAAACAAATCTGTGTGAGCCTTTCCCATGTTGGCTTCGGGGCTTGGCCTAGCTGCCTAGCTGCTTTGATCTGCTTAGCATTGCCCCAAGGCCCAAGGCCATCACATTGCCACCAAGCGTCAGTCAGGCCAAAGATTGTTGTGACCAAGATCTGCCAAAGCATCTCCTGTTGATCATTGGCCCATTTGCAAAGATAGAAACAAATCTAGGCGAATAATGATGCGCTTTTCCTAAATATCAAGTAGCTAATAGCTATTATTTCTCTCGTTTTCTTCAAATTTTGAGGTGCCGCTCAGGCGCTCTTTCATTTTCCATCTATTGTCCACCACTTTGGAACATACATGCCTATACAAAAAGGTGGTTCCAGGTCATGATTCTTTGCCGCCCCTCTTGGACCACGCAGATCCAGAATCCCAGACCTCCAGCATGGGAACATGGAAAAGTCCAAAGACGACCGAATCCAGGCAGATCACCTCAAGACACGTTCGCAGATATATTGAGATGTTTTTTGCACCATGAACGCCATGACCCACCATAAAATTACAATGCTCTTGAACGATCATTGAATTGGATTCTTCCAGTGCAGGGCTAGATTGCCGAGGGGTACATCAAAACCTTGTTGGATCAATGAAATGATGAGGTACAAAGCAGGTGCCCATGAAAATTTCATAGATTGAAATTCTATGGGAACCATATCAACAACTTTGACTAGGGATTCTCTCACATAGATTGACCAAATGAATCGGTTTATATATGCAAACTCATACTCTTTGCAGCGATTCCTTGAACTTTGGAACTTGAAGTACTTTGAAGGCTTTCAGGGCAACAATGCCTCTTTTTTCCTTTGGTCTTCGATCTGTACTAAGCCTGGCGTAGGACTCATGAGAGTCACTGGGCCCCAGCTCTTTGATCCGTCAAATCCATCAACTGAGGCTGGCACCACGATCAAACACAACTGCAAAGGGCTGATTGGCCTCCATCATCAGGGCCAGATTTATCCCGTGTGCGACGGGGCTGTGTTGCTTTTTCCTTGTCCAGACCCCCCAAAAAAAAAACGATGCTGCAACTTGAGAACTGTTCTTCGGAACATGTCATAACCCCAAAAAGCTTATATGTTCTACAGGAGTAGCGGGCGGCTCTCAACTGACACTTATTCTTGGGCAATCTGTCGCGCCTCCCTAAAAATAGGGACAAAAACACAAAGACAAGCAAGCCGGCAGCTTAATACACATCTACAAATTATACCTCAGGTAAGCCACTAATTACTCAACTTGGCCAAAGCAAATCATGTTGTGTCATCATGCTATCCATGTTTTGGGCACTGGCCGTTTGGGTGGTGCGAGACGCGGCCAGTTCGCCCAGTTAGTTCCATTCCCGGCATTCACTTGCCTTTGAAAGCCATGCTTCCGCACGTAGGAGGATTCCATGCTTTCTGAAATGCACAACAGCGTTTGATTGCTTGGGTAGTGCATGTTGGAAGTTGGGAGATCTGTCTGTGATGGATGATTCAGATCGAGCAGCCACCAGGTGACGGTGACAGTGTGTCAGGTGTCCTTCTGTGCTGTTCGACAATGCTTCTGGGAGCTTTCAGCGCTTGGATAGACCGAGCATTGTCAGTCCTGGCCTGAAAACATGACATGGGCTGCTGCGCTGCCACGGCTGCAGACCATACATTTCCCAACCAATCAGTCCAGGAGCCCCAAAACATGCCAAAAGTCCAAACAACATCACAAAACGACACTGGTGATAAGGATATAGAAAGGATTGGGAGTAAAACTGAGGAGAAATGATTGTTTATATGTGTGGATCATCATGATGCACCAGTAGGGTTCCTAAAATGGATGATCATCGCGCTGGCGCAAGGGTGCGGGGGACGTCCTCATTTTTCCACAACTGGCGGGTCCCAAAAGGATGGAAATCTAAGGGGTGAGACTAAGGCGACAAAGGCGACAAAGGCAAAAAAAACGAAGGGAGAGGTGGCCAACAGAAGTTCTAGTTACTCTAGTTACTAGTTATAGCTACGATTGCAGCGGGAACCCAAAGTAGCTTCATCCCCTCTAGCGTCTTCTCTGATCTCATTGTCTAGTGATGGGATGGCTGTGGAACTCCGAAAGATAGTAACTTAGTTTCATGAATAGTCATGAACTCGTCTCTTTTTGGCTCTGACATGCTCTGACTGATAGCATTCACATTGAAACATACTCACCTATATTAACCCACCATGTTTCATAGTCCATGTTCAATCTCCGCTGGAACATTTCATGTGGCCACCTCACCCAGGATATCCCACGCTGAGTATCACCCAGTCAGGATTCAACGTTCATTCCAGGTGTGTCACGATGCTAGCCACTCACATTGTGACCACCAATGCATCCTTGTCCACCGTCCTTCTCTGTGCCTGCAGGGTGCGTATCTGCAATCTGATACCCATTGCTAATAGAATGTTGACATATGCCAGCAGCTAGCCGTTTTGTGTGCCCAGTGCACCATATGTGCTGTGCACCAAAAAAAGGTTTAGTTGACCCACAAACCCTAGCATGACTTATATAATTCAACAAATATCCCACTTTTTTGCGTACCTGCAGGATTTTTAGGAGAGAGAACTCCCGTGGCCCAAGGGCGATTTGCTGGAAATTCATGGTGCAAACAAGTGGCCCTCAGATTCACCTTGCGAGCGCGCCAGGAAAGTCTTCACCGCCTGTGCAAAAGGGTCGGCCGATAATACCCAGCAGATAAAAAAAACGCATTTTTCCAACTCTGGTGACAAAGGCAAACATACAAATCATTGAACGTATTGAACGTTTATGATTGACAAGTGTTGTGATGAACTTGATTCCACTGCAATTCCCCAAAGTCCCATCTCTATTGTTCCCAGAAAACCACCTCCATTCCTGGAGGAGGGAAAATGTGAAGGAACACCAGATTTGCCATGTTTTTCTCTCTGACTTAAGATAGACACGCAACACCAGTTTTGAAAATTCTAATATGGATTTATCATCTACACATGGATGAACGGGTCATTTTCCATGGCAACCTCTGAAATTACCAAGGGTAATTCCTATTCATATCCCCATTTTTTTGGTTAAATCCCCATGAATCGCCATGAAATCCATGGTTTTTCCATGTTTTTCCCACCCCAAAAAAAACAAGCTGCCCAGCCTGCGTGAGCCTGTCCAGCATCCGCGAGGAGTAGGCCTTCTTCGAAGAGCCGTCCGGCGCATGATCCAAGCCATCCAAGCGCACCCACAAGGGATCGAAGTGAGAAAACACCTGCGCCAAAGCCGCCAAGGTCAAAACATTCACAGTATATCTATTTGTGCGTTGAGTATAACCTGATCTATACAATCTAATCAATACATGTGAATCTCTATGTATGTGAATCTCTATATATCTATACTTCTATAGATCTATAGATCTATCGGTCTGTCAGTAGATCTATAGGTCTATCTGTCTATCTATGTATCCATCTAGCCATCTATCCATCCATCTGTCCTTCCACGTACCCAGCTATCTATCTATCTATGTATCCATCCATATATTGTTCTACATACCTACCTATCTATCTATCTATCTATCTGTCTATCAATCTACCTATCTATCTATCTATCGATCTATCTATCTATCGATCTATCTATCTATCTATCCATCTAATGATCTATCTAATTATCTGTCTAATTTGCTATCTAATTATCAATCTAATTTGCTATCTAATTATCTATCTATCTAATTTGCTATCTAATTTGCTATCTAATTAGCTATCTAATTATCAATCTTATGATCAAACTAATGATCAATGTACAACTGATCAATCTGATTATCAGTCTAATTATTATCAATTTATTATCACTCTAATTACCGACCTAATTATCTACATCATTATCTATCTAATTATCTACCTAATTATCTATCTAATTGCCTATAATTATCTATCTCATGATCTATCTATCTATCTGTCTGTCTATCTATCTATCTAATTATCTAATTATCTAACTATCTAATTATCTAATGCTCTAAATATCCAATGATCTAATTATCTAATTACCTAGTTGTCTAATCATCTAGTTATCTAATCATCTAGTTATTAATTAATCTATCTATCTATCTATCCATCTATCTATCTATCTATCGATCGATCTATCTATCTATCTAATCTATCTAATCTATCTAATCTATCTATCTATCTCTCTATCTCTCTATCTCTCTATCTCTCTATCTCTCTATCTATCTATCTATCAATCTATCTATCTATCTATCTCTCTATCTCTCTATCTCCCTATCTCTCTATCTATCTATCTATCTAATTATCTATCTAATAAAATCTATCTAATCTATCTAATCAAAACTATCTAATCTAATCTATCTAATCTAATCTATCTAATCTAATCTATATAGTCTATCTAATCTATCTAGTCTATCTAATCTATCTAATCTAACTTATCTAGTCTATCTAATCTAATCAAATCTAATCAAATCTAATCAAATCTTATCTTATCTTATCTATCTATCTATGCATCTCTCTCTCTATCTATCTATCTATCTAATTGTCTATCTAATGAAGTCTATCCAATCTAATCTAATCTAATCTAATCTATCTAATCTATCTAATCTAATCTATCTAGTCTATCTAATCTAATCTAATCAAATCTAATCAAACCTAATCAAACCTAATCAAATCAAATCTAATCTAATCTTATCTATGTCTGTCTGTCTCTGTCTGTCTCTGTCTGTCTCTGTCTGCCTGTCTGTCTATCTAATTACCTATCTATCTATCTATCTGTCTGTCTGTCTGTCTATCTGTCTATCCGTACATATATGTATTATCTGTGCGCAACATATGTATATATATATATATATGCGTGTGTGTGTACAGTAGGCAATACTGTAGGAAACTGGAGGTATAGCGGCATTTAGCCACTTGCCAGAAATGACCCAGTATGAAAACCTGGGTGCTTGCTTGCCCGTCCGTCATTTCATAAAAGCGGATCATCCCAACCCAAGAAATAGAAAGCATGTCCGAAAGGAGGGAACATTGGGGGAATTGTCGTGATGATCATTATTAAATTCTTGGAGCAGCAAAGCAATGATGTTTATTATCGACTCCCCAACATGTAATCACCGGCAAGAGATGAACCAAAACGATGATCAAAAATCTGAGGCCCCAATCTCAACTTCTAACATCCTCCAAACAGAATCTGCCAATATCTTCCTCTACATTTAAAGCAGCTGCAGTAAATACTAAAAATGATATAGATGGATTTTGCAATTTGAGGATATAATATAGTAAATAATGATAATGATAATAATAATAATAGTAATAAATATATATATATATGTATATATATATATATTCACATCATGAGGTACTTTTTGTTCATCCTCCCCCGAATATCAACCAGTATCAAATCTGACCCATCGTCCCAGCACTGACCATCTCCCGGAAAACTTCAAGGAACCCCCCGCAATTATGGCGTGTAACTCCATGGTTTCAACCAAAAACAATCGCCAACAAAACCAGCCCAGTGACAGAGATTGATATTACTCCAAATATTGGGCTTTCCATGGCTTTCAGCCGTATTTTTTTCGCATTTTCCCACCAAAAAAAGGACCTTTGGTAACGTCCTGCGGTCGCATCACACCTCCTTATCTAAAAAGTTGTGCAGGCGATCTTCGCCCAGGGCTGCAGCTACACTGATCAACCTTGCCCCGCGTCGAGGTTTTCTGCACGAAAGGAATGTTGTCCCAACAAACATGGAGGGATTTTAACAAGTAAACAGTAAACATACATTATGGCATTAAACCAACATAATTCCAACCATTGTTTGCGATACTTTTGGGGAAATCTAATGGGTTATGGAAATATGATGAAATATGACCATCTGACCAACAGATATGGGGATACGCTGCAGGAATCTAATGGGATATGTATATATATATATATTGTAATATATATATATATAACATGATATAACTAAAATAACGTGATATGGGTTTGGTCCAAAGGCGGGGCTTTACCCTCAATAGATGGCCATCTTCCTCGGGAAAGGTTTCATTGGTTTCCCAATGTGACAGTCTCAAGCTTTTGGGGGCACACACACACAAACATTGGGTTAACAAAATCTGCTAACCTCTTGTGGTGGAGCACATGAATGATATGGACAAAGGAGCAAAGGTGGCGCGTTGTTGTAGGTCAGAGTCACTTTGGGCACTGCGATATGTAGTTCGACCTGCACAAACCAGCTTGTGTCTGACCTAAAGATTGAGGGTGTCGAATCGCCCTTCTGCAAATCATACTTGATTATATGTAGAAATCCAAACTCGGGAAATCCCAACTTGGGTTTACTGTAGTGATCCATGGTTCTGGTCACTTGCAGTTTCTCTGCTGACTGCTGGAACCGAGTTTGTGTGGCTGCACCGAAGGCAAAACGTACATAACCCAAAGAACAGGGTACGAAGATGATCCTGCGATTGGAAACTCCAATTTGTTCACTTGGTTTGCAGTCTAATGTTGGCCTCAAATGGCAAGTCAAACCATTCAAAACTGCCTTTCTCCCAATGTTCTTCTCTTCAACAATCTTATATAGATACCCTGCCCACAAATGCCCACAACAAACCTGCACTCTATACAATAAGATATCAAAATATATCAACATGTATAATGGAAATCAAATTGTATCAAACTATGTTAATCCAAGATTGACCCAGGGAAATCAAATTGCCACGACCAAACACACCGGTGGCCTTCTGATTGATGGCCTCCGCTAATTTCGCCGCCCGGAGCACTTCCAGCTGAGTGCTGTGCTGCTGGTGCATCTGCATCGCCTGGCCGAAGCAGCTGGAGATAGGCAAAGTCCGGTACCAAATGGTACCTCCGGGCCGACAAAAACATACATTATTGGTACTAGTAATGTGGATGGTCAAAGTCAGATGGGTAATATGTCAATTAATTAATGTCAATTAACACTTGGTCGTTATATGATGTTATATGATACATTAGCATATACTAATACTTGATCGTTCTATATCAATCCCAATTTTGAGCAACTATGGTCATACAGAGTCATATCTGGTTGGTGGTTTGAACCCCTGTGAAAAAAAAATGAAAGTCAGTTGGGATTACTATTCCCATATGTTATGGCAAAATAAAATTCATGTTCCAAACCACCAACCAGATATGATGGTCAAACTATTTTCCATTCATGTCTATGAATATAAAACAAAATTGAGGACCCTTGAAGTCTCCATCACCTTCTCCGCTGCGGCCATGGCTACCACCACATTCCTCGGACACCGCAATACATGCCAAGAGAAACACACGGAGACGCAGACCTACAATGTTTTTTTATCTCCTGTTCTTTGCATATGTTTTAGTATACACATACACACACACACAATCACACACACAATCACACACACACAAATATATATATATATGCAGATATATATAAATATACTAATTTGGAGATGGAATACATTATTTTAAACTAGTCACTAGCTCACACACGTTGCCCTCCATCAAAACAATTTAGACATGGAAAATCTAGAATGCTAGGCTAGATTTCGCAGTGAGAATTGGGTTTGGAACGGGTTCCAACCGCTGGCAAAAAAATGTCATCTCGCATATCAGCAGCAGTGCAATGGGAAACGCCTGATTTTCAAAGAGGGGTACCTAAATGTGAAAAACACAAACCAATATAAACCAAGCGGAGCTGTCTGTGGCTGTTCATCGCAAATTCATGCAAATTTCAACGAATGCACATTGCAGGCAGTCATTGAGACATGTGTGTTGGAGTTGTTGGTATCCGTGTTTGTTTTAAAAGGCACCATGTTCAAACATCAAACGTGTTTATTTCAAACTATACAAACAAAAATGATTATATAACACATATGTTCTCAGCACTCCTCCCATTTATCATCTATCTATTTTTGGCTAGATGTGTCATATTAAATTACGTTGTATCCGCATCAATTGGTTGGTCTTAAAGCAAGATATCCACATTTTTGTTGGTTCACCCCGTCTTTCCGGGATTTTAAACCTATATCCGATCGGTTGCTTAGTTGTATCCCAGTCTATGCCCATTTCTCGCTGGCCATCTTGCAGCAATGAACCTTTTTTGATGGATTCAAATTGATGAATAATCGGGAAAAAACATTTTTGATGGTTAATTTCTTTATTTTTGCTGGTCACACCCATATTTTGCCGGGTAAATCCATCACTTTTGTTGATCAAACCACTCTGTGTTGGTTAAGTCCATCAGTTGTAATTAATGATCAAACCTATATTGACTTGGTTAAACCCACCACAATTTGTTGGTCAAACCCTGTAGTATTGGCTAAACTCACCATTTTTAAAACTATCAAATCACACAGAAATCGCTTGCCGATCGGTCTCCGTTTCATCTCCTCGTGCTGTTGAGCTTGCGCCAGCTGCTCCCTTCGTAGTTGCTCGTTCTCGGCCTTCACGCGCTCCACCATGTCCCGCAGCTCCTGGGGGGGGCCGTTGTGGCTCGAAGCACATTTTGATGTCAAAATGGTTGAAACATGCTAAAACATCAGTGTCGGAGCACTTTTGGAAATTGAGATGCCGAAAAAGTGTCTCCAGATCTCCAGAAATGTACCCCACCAAGGCCGCAGTTTTCCACGTTTTTGCCATTGTGGCGAAGCATAAGGTCAAATGCAGAAAAGCACCACACGTTCAGACCACTTTTGGAAGTCGAGATGTCGAAAAAGTGCACACCGTTGTCGGGCGAAGCACATTTCGAAGTGAAAATGCTAACTTCTAAAAACACCACCACATGTTCGCACCAACATCGTTTTCTGTGGCAGGCATGATGGATTCTGCACCAGTCCAAAAGTAAGCAACACGCGAGAGTTTTGTGGCAGTTGCAAAAAAGATGGCAGGCGTGAGTGGGATGTTTGAAGAGGATCTGCAAAGATGCATGTTTGTGCATCAGAGATGTTAGGAGGTCAGGGCGATGATTTCCTGAGAGGGGTTGCATTTTGGAGCATCAGATCTTCAGGTTTGCTAAGATGATTTTGCGTGGCAGGTGCAGTAAGGCGTACTACTTTACACAGATTCACAGATGGAGTGGAAAAATCGCAAACCGCATTGGTACAAGGCCGTCACCTCCGCACTCAACTTTCCATTTTTGAAGAAGTCTCGCAAAAATGCTCCGTTTGAATTGCCAATGCACAGAATTGCTTCGTTTTGGACCTTCCACCTTCCACTTTTGAAGGAAGGCTGCTAGAATTCGTTCCTTATAGACAGACAGCTAGATAGACCAGGTAGACAGATAGACAGACAAACAGACAGACAGACAGACAGATCAACCGGTAGATAGATAGCTAGCTAGCTAGCTAGATAGATAGATAGATAGATATAGTTAGATGGATAGATAGAGAAATAAATAGATATAGTTAGATGGATAGATAGATAGATAAATAGATACGATAATAAGGACGATAAATAGATAAATAGATATATAGATAGAAAGAAAGAAAGAAAGATAGATAGATAGATAGATAGATATCTATATATAGTTAGATGGATAGATAGATAAATAAATAAGTAGGACGATAAATAGATAAATAGATATATAGATAGATAGAAAGAAAGAAAGATAGATAGATCGATAGATAGATAGTTAGGTAGATAGAAAGATAGATAGACAGACAGATAGATAGACAAATACATAGGCAAAACAAACTGTAGATCAACAGATGGACAGACAAACAGACGGACGGACAAACCAGACAGACAGACAGACAGACAGACAGACAGACAGATAGATAGACAGATGGAGAGATGGAGAGACTCAGAGCTTCAATCACCTTTCGGTCCATCAGTTCGCTCTGCCATCGATGAATCGCAACAACTCACCTCTCCTACAGTTTCCTATCTTTGAAACTTCCGCCACCGCCTTGTGCGGTCCTACTGGTATATATCATGCATTTATTTGTATACTGATCTCCGGACGGTATCCGATGGTTCGGGTGGATAATCATCACCCCTTTCTGCCCCGAGCCCGGTCCGCCCTGCTGTCCTGGAGAGCCTTCTGCTTCTCTTTTTCCATTTCTTCATTCTTTCGCGCTGCTGCCTGAGAAGACTAATGTGCGATGGCTGGTAAGGACAACTCAACCCACAGTCACTATGGGATACCCACCTTTTTCAATAGGTCATTCAACTATAAAGGGCCATTTTCCAAAGAATTTATGAGGATATGCATTCCCTTCCAAAATCACCTGTGGTCCCATAACGCCACTTGACAAGTGGAGCAGCGTCCTTGATGCGGACCCTTTTGGGTTCATGAAATGGATGACATCACGCGTCATGCGAAACAAAGCCCAGTTCTGGGACACTGTATCTGGTTTATCCACCTTTATCCCTTTGAAATATTGGGTTACTAACTACCTGCTTTAATCTGGATGCATATCCAAGTTGTACCCATTTTTTGGGGTCAAGACCTCCATACCAATCTATACCCATACGGAGCTCAACATTGGGGTACAGTACCAATCATTTTATGGATGGCTTCTGTGCGCCCTCCATAAATCCAGTCTCCTACCTTCGAAACCTTGGTGAAGTGTCCTGGATCCGTTCATGAACTCGGGTCCCCAGCATTGCAAGTAATTTAGGTCCCGAGCATTGAAGCGTTTAAAGAATCAATCCCCATTTCTGATGGTAAGCAAGCATGTGTAACATGAGTGGGAGAAGAATTTAGTACATATATGTATACTGTACACATAGAATATCAGAAACATACATGATTACTGCATATGCATTCATATATGTCTGATACATTGATGCGCATCATACTAATTACCTGCAATATCTATATTAAGTCCCCATGAAACCCATGAAGCCCACCATGTTCTTTACGAGATGCAGGACATCTCCCAATTCTGTTGGCAAAACCAAGTTCAAACCTTGTTTTGCTGCTTAAACCTCCGTCTTTCTTCAGCAAATCCCAAATTTCCAGGGATCTTCCGAAGTTACCTTCAGTTCGTGAGTTCTATCCAAATCTATTCCCATTCTCGTCATATCTTCCCATTTGGTTCTCCAAAATCCCCCACGTTTTCGCGGCAAAACCCAGCCTGGCACACCTCCTCCGTGAGCTGCCGTTGCTCTGCCAAAGCCTTTTTGAGGCGATCGATCTCGGCGTCGCGCTGCAGCACCATGGCCTGGCTTCGAAGGGGTCGGATCCTGGTTCCGATGGCTTTAAATGGACTAGAAATTGAAGATAAATCCAATAAATTCAACTTAGATGGATTATAAATAAATCCATTAACTATCGATAATTCATTGATGCATGGACTATAAATGGATGATTCACGAATATGTTTGGGATTAATGCGAATTTTGAATGTAAAAGCCCATTTAGTATAATTATACCACCCATAACCATACTTAACCAAGTTATGAAACAACTTGGCTACCTGGCGGGTCCTACTTTGAATCGTGGATCTAAGCAACACCAACTGTAGATTTAACATGATCTAGCCAACAGAATATGGGTTCAACCAACAAACATGGCGGAATTAGCCAGCAGCCTGGATTTAACCGGGCTGTCATGCATCAAAAATCCATACGGCTCATGAACATAAATTAACCA